CTACTTCCCAGCTAACAAGTTAGCTTGCCACAGCTTCATGAAAGCAGGCAGAAAACATGAGACCCGTAGGTTAGAGACAAAGGACATTATTAGTCACAGCACAGTAAGCAACATGACTTTCATGTTCTGATCTCTACTAGGGTCCCAGTGGGGGTACAGAGAGGCAGGTTCAGGTGGTTAGGCAGGTTTGAACCTGCCTGACCTTTGCCTCAAAAGGAGACATTATTTTTATTGTACTAGGCAGCAAAAAAACATGCCCCTTGCCCAGGAGGGAAACGCTATCTCAATCTTCCAAGGTTTTTTGCTATAGAAACATTCTTGAAAAGATAGTCCTGAACAAAAGCCAGCACCATACATGCCTGAAGGAATTGCAGCTACTATGTATAACATTATCTAAACCAAGGATGCTATTACCTTCCTCATTGGCTTTTGGTAGAATTAAATGATAATACATCAAAGCGCTTACTATTGTTAGGTGTTCAATCAATGCTGACTACTCTTATACAATAGCACATACTCAGATGAAAGAACTTTAATAGTTGTGTTTCCCTCCTCCAAGAATCATAAATGCTTCCTTTTTGCTTTTAAGTAGACTTTAATTTTTTTAGAGCAGTTTTAAGTTCACAGCAAAATTGAGAGGAAGGGACAAAGATTTCCCCCATACTTCCTGTCCTCACACATACATAGTTTCTTCTACACCATCCACACTCCCCAGCAGAGTGGTACATGTTACCACTGATACACCTGACATTGACACATCATTATTACGCAGAGTCTGTAGTTCACGTCAGGGTTCGCTGGGTGTTGTATATTCTATGGGTTTGGAGAAATGAATAAAATGACACCCACCATTTGCAGTATTATAGAGAATAGTTCCACTGCCCTACAAGTAGTCTGTGTTTTGATTCATTCCTTCCTCCCCACAACCCCTGGTGTCCTCTAATCTTTCTACTGTCTTCATAGTTTTGCCCTACCTGGTGTCATACAGTTGGAATCTTATGGTATGGATGCTTCTTTTTAAAAAACGTACATGTATTTTGAAGATAAAGTCACCCACAACCTTCCTATGAAGTAGTACCTTTAACTTGATTAATTTCCTAATAATATCTTTTTAGGCATCTATTTTTAAAAAGTTCCTTTTGTTTTTTAGAGAGTTTCATTTGTCACTAGTTTAATAACCTCCACAAAACTCTTTAAACTATTTAAGCTTTTTTTTTTTGGAGATGGTCTCACTTTGTCATCCAGGCTGGAGTGCAGTGGCATGGTCTCCGCTCACTGTAGCCTCAACGTCCCAGGCTCAAGCAATCTCACTACCTCAGCCTCTGTGGTAGCCGAAACTACAGGCATGCGCCACCACATCCAGCTAATTTTGTGGATTTTTTGTAGAGAACAGGTCCCTACAAAATTATGTTGTTGCCCAAGCTGGTCTCAAACCCCTGGGCTCAAGCAATCCTCCTGCCTTGGCCTCCCAAAGTGCGAGGATTATAGGCATGAGCCGCTGAACTTGGCCCAGTCATGATGGGGTAGTTTATGCTGTGTCACAATAAAAAGGCTTATTTCTCGTTCACACTACATGTGCATCCTGTAGTCATGGAGTTCTCATCATTATGGTCACTCAAGGACAGCCACCATCATGTTGTTAGTTTTGAAAATAAATGCTCAAAACTCAAGACCAGAATGTCACGTGGCTGCACCAAATCATGAGGCCAAAAAGAACAATCCTACCATGTGCCAGGTAGGCAGAGCTGGAAATATTGGTGAACCAGATTCATGACTACCAGTTTACACTGTGACTGCCATGACTAACAGCGACACTGTGGGTAGCAGAAACAAGAATCAACCTACCATTTGTTGTCCATTTAAATAACTGAAATATTTTTTTTAGTTCCAGGAATTAATCAAAGCAAATAAAGAGGATGAAACTCCCAAAATCTTAATATATACCATGGTTAACATTCCCCTCTTTGCCTATTGTGCTAAAAATACAAAGCACTTGAGTGAAGTTTATCTGAAGCCTCCGGAAGTTATTAATCAAGAAATTTTAATATTGCTAATATCAAAACCACTTTCTTTTTCTAAATGGGGCTGTTAAATTGAGCTAAAAGAATGCTCAAACCTATGCCCACTGCACTCTTAGGCTATTCTATAATAGTAATGTTGTGAGATGAAAGGTGTAAGCAGAAAACAGGAGAGAATAGAATCAGGTTGCAGGTACTTACACCTCTTCTCATATTATATATGTCTATATACACACACATACATATTTTTCTAGTTCTCTTTATATATATATCTACATATATCTCTATATATTGTCCCTTGATATGTATTGTCACTGAAATTTTTATCTATTTTTAGAGAAAGAGAAGAGCTGATAATAAAAATCTAAGTGATAGTATGTTTGTTCTCAGAATCACTTAGAAAACTTGCTTAATCTATGTATGTTATCGGGACAATCTAATTTCACCTTAGCAGTAGGCAAGTGATAGAACATTTTTTATAAGATCAAAGGAAAACAGAACAAAACAAAAAACCAAACTTGCCAGAATGGGGAAGAAAATTCTGCATCTAGATACCTTACCTTATGCTATGTAATAGGCATGCAATCTATACAATGATACAACCAGGATAGATGTGAGGCAAACCACCAGCTCCTGTCTGGCATAAAAAGTAAATCATGATTTTATTTTCTAAGCCTCCCTTCCCAAGCTGCTTTCTTGCCTTTCCCGGTTTTAGTGAAGCACTTCCAAATTCAATGTATTTCTGACTGACTCACAATTCTCTTTCCCAGCTGTGTTATTATTTCGCCATTTCCTTCATGTATTACCACAACCCCAGTGAATATTGGTATCACAACATCATTAAGGAGGTTCCCTCTTTACACACCATCACTAGGGACACACAAACAATTCTTTACAAAAGAAACAAGACACATCTGTATTATTTAAGTAATATTACAGTCAAAACTCAAACTTTAAAAATGTATTTCCAAAGTAATTCTATTACTTAAGATACATAGGGAAGTTATTTCTATGAAGAAGAATGTGAGAATGTGAGTTAAAAATAAAACTTTTTTTTTTTTTTTTTGAGATGGAGTTTTGCTGTTGGTGCCTAGGCTGTAGTACGATGGTGCTATCTCAGCTCACTGCAACCTCTGCGTCCCAGGTTCAAGTGATTCTCCTGCCTCAGCCTCCCGAGTAGCTGGGATTACAGGCGCCCACCACCACATCTGGCTAATTTTTTGTATTTTTAGTAGAGACAAGGTTTCACTATGTCGGGCAGGCTGGCCTCGAACTCCTGACTTCAGGCGATTCACCTGCCTCAGCCTCCCAAAGTGCTGGGATTACAGACATAACTGCACCCAGCCAAAAGAAAACATTTTTTAGAAATGTAAGTGGATTGCTTTTGTCAACTAAACTCCTAATTTGCTGGGAAGTGACAGGCTATGAATACTTCATTCTCCTTTTCCTGGTGATTTTGTAAATGACTGCCTTATTTATGGAAAGCAAATATGCAAAACCAAAGTATCATCTTAAAGTAACCACAAGTGTAAATGTTTTTTTTTTTTTTTTTCTTTTTCCAAAATCCAGCACCAGGTTTAAGCGGGTTGGCATACCTCAGCAAACGCTGAAGAGTAAGATTCCCTCTCTGAGGCTGTGAAGCATAGGGCTGCTTCCTTATTACCTTTCAGGCTATTAGTAGTTGCCAACTCCAGATTTCAAGTCCTCATTTATGGAGAATCTGATTTAGTGGCACAGAGACACTTTTAAAGAGGCTCCCCAGATAATTCTGATACATAGCAAGGTCTGAGAACAAGTGACCTACACAGTTGTTTGTTTTTTGAGACAAGGTCTTGTTCTGTCACCCAGGCCGGAATGCAGTGGTACAATCTCAGCTCACTGTAGCCTCCTCCTCCCAAGTTCAAGTGATTCTCCTGCCTAAGCTTCCTGAGTAGCTGGGATTACAGGCACGTGCCACCACATCCAGCTAATTTTGAGACGGGGTTTCTCCATGTTGGTCAGGCTGGTCTCAAACTCTCGACTTCAGGCGATCAGCTCACCTTGGCCTCCCAAAGTGCTGGGATTACGTTGTGAGGCACCGTGCCTGGCACTTACATTGTTCTTAAAATGATAGCTTTCTCCCCTAAATTATAAAGAACCCTAAACATTAAGATGGGCATAGAAAAAAACAGCAGAAATACTAAAGTTGGAAGACAGTATCACACATGTATATTTATTAATGACTATTGATTAAAAAGACTTTGAAGGAGTAATACTGCTGAGAAAGCATGCAAGCAACTTCTGCAGAATTGTCATACAGTTAATCAGAAGTCAGAAAACATACCAAGTTAAACAATGTATTTCTTGACTTACTCCTAATTGCAATACACACCTCTGCATAGGGATTAGTAAAATTATAGTACAGATCAAGTTCCCCAAATCATTTTTAAAAGAAATGATCAATACTAAATATTAGCAGCTAAGACCATAGATTTTTGTGGCTTCAGAACTTTCACACACTGAGAGCTCCAACAGAGGAAAAAAGCAAAGAAAATCAACATAATTGCTAATCAGAAGATTGCTGCATTTCTAATATGTGCAAAACAAAGAGCATCTCATATTCTTAATATCACCTTCCTTCCTCAAGGTTTTAGGGAATATTAGGTAAAACCAATAATCAGCGATAAGAGATGCATCATTGTAACATACTAAAATTCAATCAGGACTGATCGTGCTGAGACTCACTGCTGTTTTTGAGGGGGTTCTGAAAAATTTGTATACTCTATTATTTTAAGCCTCTAAATATGATGATTTCTTTTGGCTTTAATATATCACTGTGGAAATAAATCTCAATGTAGCAATTTTTTGCAACACTGATCAGAAATCCAAATGTCACTTAAAACTTAAATATAGACAAAACACAAGCATATACATATACATGTTCATCTTCAGAGAATATAAAAGGTTAAATAAAAATAGATAATAAAATTTCAGATACAGAGATTGCCACTTCAACATAAATTTATTTTTGTGTTTATTTTTCAAAGACTTTAGAGCATGAGGAACACTAGATGATGACAGGATGACTTTCCAGCCTTTGTTTCTTTCTTCTTTAAATACAGATGTTGACAAAAATGATGGATTAGATGCAGTCCACTTTTTCCTCAGTTGGCTGATGTTTTTCGGAATTATAAACCATGAAACTAAACTGGGTAAATGTTGAAAGTTTATTGCAAGCAGCACCTGGGGCCAAAAATGAGAAAGATGTTTGGTTAACTCTAGGATACACGTATTTCTAACCAATGCAGAGAGTGCTGATTTGACTAGACATTGGCTACTACATACCTTCCATCTAACTAAGCCACGTGGAAGCACACTAGGGTCACCCTCCTTAGGACTGAGTCATGAACAGTCCATGAAAAGAAAGAGGTGGCAGGTAAGCTAACTCTTTGAACTTCAAAAAAAACTGGCTGATTTTTGTTGTTGTTGTTGATCTAGACACACGCTGTCATTGCTACTATTATGTAACTGTTCTTATTTTTTTCTTAGAAAAAATTATTCAGGCACATCCCCCACATTTTATTTCTCTAGCCACTAGAACATTCTCATCATTCATCCCTAACCCCACACTCCACCATTGCTCCCTATTCTTCTACTCTCTCAGAGTCAAGAGTAATTGTCAACATGCTTTGTCTAATCAAGTCCATTTTTTCTTGCTCAAACACCTGGGGGAGGGTCATTACTTTATATATAAGAAATGAGTCAACTATAAATTCATCCACAATTATATAATTATCATTTTTTTCATTCCATTATATCCAACTCTGAGCTTTCTAATAAGGTTTATTTCTTAGGAGGGAATCAATAAAACTGCCTTATTTGATACATAAAGCTTTTCCCCTTCATAATTTTTATTGACTTTTGTGTTTTTGTACTTAAAAAAGAATAAAGCATACTTCAAACAAGTTTTTCAAATACAGAACTGTGGGAAGTAAAAGATCAAAGAACAATAATAAGCAGTCCAACCTAATAAGTCATATTGATTAGTAAGCTGCGTATTTTCTCCATCTGAAAATTCACTAATGAGAATCAGCAGTGGCTGATCTTAAAATTCTTTGAAACCGTGATAGGCTCATATGGAAAATAAATGAAGCGAAAGACAAGCCTCAAACAGTGCAAAAATAATTCTGCTAACCTCCTTGGTTTACTAATTAGTAATACGTTTTGTTCTTTGGAGCCCCGAGAAGATCTAAATGGCTGAAGCATTTAATAATGAATAGAAAAGAAATAGGGAAGATAATTTATCCTTGTCTATTTCTTTTTTATTTTTTTATTTTTTATTTTTT